CCACGTTAGGACAACCGTTACCGTTACTTGACCTTATCTCTCCTTATCTCTGCTCTTGAACCGAATTGCGCGATCTTGAGCTACTTTGAGAAGAGACATCTCGCTTTGCAACCTCCTTTCGAACTGACGCCCTTGGCTCCAAGAGCACAAGACCCCTTGCAGTAGCAGTCTTTTTGTTATATTCGGTGGTAATATGCGGTGCGGGCGGTTACCGTCGCGAAGCGACGTGAATAAACTTGAATCCAACTCAAGGAAAAACTCCAGATTTAAGAAAAAATCAAGACCGACCAACAACAAGCACGCAGACAAACAAAGAAAGCAAACAAAAGAAAGGATCCTTCAGAGACCAGCCATGAGATCTCAGAGTCAGATCCAATCTGCGTGGCCTTCAATGTCTCATCATCGGAATCCTCGAAAGCAAAAACTTTCAAGGACAACATACCTGTCAGCTCAGGAAGGAAAAGGTGAACTAGGGCTACCATGCCGTGCAAACATTTATCCAAAAGACCTGACAAGTGCACAAAGTGACACGCAACTACAAGGGAAAATAGGGAACCCTCTAGAAGCTAAACTTGCAATGAAGTTGACTGCAACTGCGTGACACAAAGCTGAACTTGCAATGCCACAGCAACCCCCGATCTAGACTTACAACCCTTTTGGTTCTGATTGCATACCCCTGGCTGCTGACGATCTCCAAAACCCTGTCTGCCTGAAGATCCATACCTAACAAGGTCAAGGTCAAATCCAATCCAAGGTCATGCCAATCCAAGCTCCACAAGCCTCAAACCAATCAATGTTCAAATGCGAAGCAAAACAAGAAACTGTGATCTATAGACTCCTGTTTTTGCAAAGGCTGGCATGAGCAGCGCAAATCACTTTCCATTAGCGCCCATGGCTGTGATATTCAGGCTCTCTCAGGATCCATCAACCTCACTCGTTTCAATCCAGGCGGAACAGGGTGCATAGGCTCAGCTCGCCCTCCAGATCCAAGTGGAGCGCTCCCATATCCGGGAACAACACCCGTGCCCAACGTGGCACATGGTGCTGTCATCCCTGAAGGATCCATTCCGGTAGAAGCCATTCCTGGCACGCCGGGTGGTACCGGAACACTCGTTCCAGGAAACATGGGTTGTCCACTCGCCTTCACAGGAGGAGCTTCCTTCGCTGTTGCAGCAGGAACAACTGGAGTCATAGGCGTCTGAGGAGTTCCGGCACTGGATACAGCCTCAATCACTTTGTTGAGAAGCTGATTCGTCTCCTTGGCGTTCGCATTCAAAGATTCCAGAGATGTAGCCTGGCGGGAAACTTCACTCATGTCAGTGACCAACTTCCCCAGCACTATGATGGACTCCTTCACGCTAGCAATCGACTGCTTTCCGCTCCCTGACAGTTGCCAGTGCACGTCACTGACTTTGCGAGCCAGATCCTTGACCACTCAAGTCCTGTGACTTGATGTGAGATGATAAGGTGAGTAAGGCCTCACTCATCCTCACCAGCGTCATATTGCTTCTGCAATTTCTCATCAAGGTCTGCACGTCTCTTATCCATATTGGCATTAAACTCGGAAACTTGCTTCAAAGCGTTCGACAAGCCTCCGAACTTGTTCACAGCCCATAGGAGGGTGTCAAGGACTGTTTCCAACTTAATCTCACCAGCCACTGCTGGACAAGGATCACCCATCTCAGTCTCAGACCGAGACTCGTCAGGCCCTCGGGCCGCAAGCTGGCTGACCTTCTCGAAATAGGACCATGCATAGAGATGGCCCCCTGAGGCCAGCATTGGCATCAGCTCTTCCAATTGGTCGATCTTGGCTCTCAATGCCACCAGGCTCAAACCAACATAGTCGGTCCCTCGCATGTCGGACCTCAGGATAAGCATGGATCTTGAGTTTCACCAGCATCGTAACATTCGAGCACGAGGTGTGCCACCTCGAGGCTTCGTTCCAGGAACCGGTTCACTGATGTTGTTCGAAGGACATCTGCTGGCATTTCAGCATTCGCAAGGTTAAGAGCCTTCGTCTCTTCAATCCCAACCTCCGCCAACTCTTGGCCTTCAAACAAGCATGCTGTGACTCTGATCGCATTGGTCACACCCGAAGGACTCGCCATTTTCCGAAAGTCCCAAACACGTCCGATGCTCTGGAGCCCAGCTTGAGCAATCATTTGTTTGAGAAGGCGGTTCAAACTGCAAGTTCTGTCAGATTCCCCCTCGATCAACCCTAAAACGAAAATGAAAAACGGGGAAGGAAGCAAAGCAAGCGAAGTCTCAAACCACGAAAGGAGACGCAGTTCCCTTGACTCTGACACGTCGACAAGTAACATGGTTCCAAACCCTTCAACTTGAAGTGAACTACTCTCAAACTCAGCATCCCCACAAGCATGCTGAGCAAGTCAAGTTCATCCTAAACAACTATAGTTCTAGAATTGAATTCCCTCCTTCCAGGTAGAGGCTAAGAAACCCAAAACCTTTAAAATTACAACTATATATATATACAAAAAATACAACCCTGAAATGCAACTGTATTGCATGGTTCGACGCCCTAACTGGCCTCGGTTCCCAAATATCATACTCAAATGAGGGCCACTACGCAAATAGCACCCACCAAGCCAATTGAATTTTGAGTCACGTTGTCCTTTTTATGCGTTGTCAAGAAGCATTTGCGCGAATTTGCTGTCTTTTTGCGTTGTGGCACAAAGGCAGTCGGCCCGCAAAATCGACAAACACCCTCGTCGACACGTCCGCAAAATGAAAAAATTTACAACATTTGGTTTCGCAACCTGTTTCGTCAATTGTTTTGTCTTTTTTGGCGGGTCGTATTATTCTGATATTTGTTTTATTTTTTCGCGGGTCGTATTTTTCGTATGTGTTTCTAATTTTTGCGGGTCGTATTTTTTGTATTTTCTTTATTGTTTTGTATTTTTCGTATGCTTTGTATTGTTTTGTATTTTTTGTCTTTTTGTATGTTCTATATTTTTGAGTTTTTCGTTGTTTTTGGTATTTTGGAAAAATACCAACAAGATGGAGCCCACGAACCCGAATGCAAGCACATTCGAAAAGCTACATATGTCCAAATGACACTCTTGTAGGACACTCTTGTGGGACACTCTTGTGGGTCACTCTTGTAGGAAACTCGTGTGGGACACTCTTACGGGACACTCTTGTGGGACACTCTTGTGGGACACTCTTGTGGGACACTCTTGTAGGACACTCTTGTGGGATACTTGTGGGACACTCTTGTAGGAAGCTCTTGTGGGACACTCTTGTGGAACACTCTTGTGGGACACTGTTGCGGGACACTCTTGTGGGACACTCTTGCGGGACACTCTTGTGTGTTGCGGGACACTCTTGTGGGACACTCTTGCAGGACACTCTTGTGAGACACTTGCGGGACACTCTTGTGAGCCACACTTGCGGGACACTGTTGCGGGACACTCTTGTGGGACACTCCTGTGGGACACTCATTTGGGACACTCTTGCGGGACACTCTTGCGGGACACTCTTAAGGGACACTCTTGTGAGACACTCTTGCGGGACACTGTTGCGGGACACTCTTGTGGGAGACTCCTGTGGGACACTCATTTGGGACACTCTTGCGGAGGGACACTCTTGTGAGACACTCTTGCGGGACACTGTTGCGGGACACTCTTGTGGGACACTCCTGTGGGACACTCATTTGGGACACTCTTGCGGGACACTCTTGTGGGACACTCTTGTAGGACACTGTTGTGGGACACTCCTGTGGGACCTTCTTATAGGACGCTCTTGTAGGACACTCTTGAAGCTTGTGGGACATGCGTGACACTCTTGTGGGACACTCATACGGGACACTCTTGTGGGACACACTTGTGGTACACTCTTGCAGGAGACTCTTATGGGACACTCTTGTGGGACACTCTTGTGGGACACTCTTGTAGGAAACTCTTGTGGGATACTCTTGTAGGACACTCTTGTGGGACACTCTTGTAGGACACTCTTGTGGGACACTCCTGTAGGGCACACTCTTCGTTCGAGACTTCCTCCAAAAGTCACGCTGCGAGGCTGCAAGACGAGCGTTTCGTACGAGACTTCCTCCAAAAGTCACACGTCAAGTCTCAAAAACGAGCGTTTCGTACGAGACTTCCTCCAAAAGTCACACGTCAAGGCTCCAAAACGAGCGTTTCGTACGAGACTTCCTCCAAAAGTCACATGTCAAGTCCCCAAAACGAGCGTTTCGTACGAGACTTCCTCAAAAACTCACACGCCAATCACAATGTGACAGCGACATTCACCTCTACCACAACTCACAACCTCCCGATTCCCTGCGCCAACCACGAATCTTTCCGCGTCCACACGTCCGACGCGCGCAAAGTACTGTGCCTGCCACGAAATGTCACCTCCGTCACCCCTCGCAACCTCACGATTCCCTGCGCCTGCCACTAGAATCGCACTTCCACGCCTCAAAGCCCGCACAAAGTCCTGCGCCTGCCACGAAAAGTGACAATATCATCTCATGTGAGCTTCAACAAAATTTGCACCACACCTTTTTTTTTCTGACCCGTTCTGAGCACACTCCCATCCACCAAAATCGCCATTTCAGCTGAGACTTGTCACGAAAACCGAGCTTCGATGCCACACCCTGAAACGCAAAATCCCAATGGCACGGCCACATCCAACACCCCAAAAACACGACTCTCCAAACGCTAATCCCAATGGAACTGCACAGCTGTCTGCAGATCTCACAAAACGCTGCGCCTGTGCAGCGAAACGCATCACGTTTCTTGCGCGACATGTCATGTTCGTGCAAATCACAATGGAATAGCGGCGCAAACTGACACGTGACACATCCATGAATAGTCACTTGCAAAAGCTTCCCCCAATGGCAGCGCCTTAGCGCTCTACCGCGAACGGTTGCGAACGGTTGCAGACGGTTGCGAACATAGAACCAACGGGTCACGAACAAGGCTCCACCCCCAGAACCCCCAAGAGTTAAACGAGAACCCTTCGCTATGCATTCGGGAACAAAAAGATTCGTATTTTTTGCACTTAAAAAATACAATGTTGTTTTCGTATTTTTTCGTATTACATATTTTTGGAAAATAGTAAAATGCAAAATTTTCGGCCTCGAACTGCGAACCGGCAAAACCCACCGGCAATTTTTTGACAACCAACGAAACGTGGTCAGGCTACCCGACAACCACGAGAACCTCTTGCACATCAAGACATTGTCTTACATTGTAACTCCATAGATCAACATATGGTTCAGCATCACCTTTTCTTTTCAAGTAAATAATTTTTGTCCTTCCCCATGGCTCGACCTTCATTGCAGATTTGCTACAGCTTCGCATTCCAGAACCAATGCGGCAAGCGCTGCTGGATGATGGGTGTGACACAGAAACCTTTGGATTGGTCGCACTTTCCTTGACGGAATTGGATTCTGTTTTGGATTCTCTGGGACTGGAGATCTCGACTCGAGCTCGATCCACGTTGCCAACCCGCTGTAGCCTCAGGTCCCTCCAGTCCCTCTGCCCTCCTGCCTTCAGGTGATCTAGCCTAGAACTCACTTCAGGTTCCCGCTCAGGTTCATCTTGGAATGAACCATTTCCAGCCAAGCTCAGCCCGGAACTCATTCGGGAACTTCGAGACAACTTTGAGCGCCAATACCCCGGTGAACTTTTTTTTCCACGAGTGCGGACGCCATGTGGGCAGCGTGCCCAGGTCATCGTTGAAGGAAAGGAAACACTGCATATTGATGGGGGAAGCAAACCACAACCACCAACACCAAAACACCCAGCAAAGACCCAAAACAAACCCCAAAACAAGACCAAAAACCGCCACAAAGGACCCCCAACCCATGTGAGCAGTGTTTCCTCTGTACTGAAAGTGAAACGGGTGAGAAAGACGAGCTGCAAAATATCTAAGGGCCTGAATTTTCTACGAAAGGCAAAATGCTTCTGGTCGTGGGTAATTGCACGGATCGGCCAATCAAAGGTGGCCGCATTCCATTGGCAAGGATGAGGTCATCCAAGCCACTTTTGATGGTTGGTACTCGGCGTAGTTTGACATCATGCGCAGTACCAAGAGCAAAGTAAGCAGTTGTCAGATGACTATGGCCAAAGAGTCATCGGTTGCAAAGCATGGCAAGCCGTGGAAAATTCCATCTCCGTGGCACAATCCTACGAAAGCAGTGGCTTATCTTGAGTGTGAAAGTGGAAGGCATCGCAACGAAAGGACTGCTCACAACGTGCTGATTGCCCTCCCACAACGGAGGCACACCCCCAATGGCTCCCACGCGTTAGCCAAAGGGGTTATGGGGGTTGTTCACTTTTCCATCAGATAGTGAGTATTGAGATCACTATCCTTCGACATGCATGGCCCATGTGAAACAGGTGAAACAGTGACCTATCCCAGCGTGGTACTTATGCCATCTTTGTACAAGATTGGCTGTGGTTCGGCTCCCGCAGACGAGCAACTAAGGTTCTCCCTGGGTGCCATCCATCTTTTTTTCCACGAGCACGGACGCCATGTGGGCGGTGTGCCCAGGTCATCGTAGAAGGATAGGAAACACTGCATATTGAAGGGGAGAAAAGACAAAAAACGGAACCGGAAACAGCAAACAAGAACCCAACCAAACCCGAAGCCAAAACCAAACAGAAAACACCACACAAACCGCCAGCCAATGTAGGCAGTGTTTCCTCTGTACTAAGGTGGGACGGGTGAAAATGACAAACTGCAAGATATCTACGGGCCTGAATTCTCTACGAAAAGCGACATGTTTCTGAAAGCAGGTGATTGGTCTGCGCGGCCAATCAAAAGTGGCCTCGCACCGTTGGCAAGGATGAAGTCATCCAAGCCGTTCATGGGTGGGCGCTCGAAACCTTGTGGCATCAAACGAGGTAAAC